ACCACCAGCAACAAAATCAAGCAAATAAACTACCCAAAGACATGTGTTACATCCTTTTAATAGGCTTCTGAAACAGGGAGCAATTAATATCACAGGCAGGACTGGACTGAGATTCTTTGCATAGTCTGCTGAATTTTCCTGAATTTACCTGGGCTAAATATCCTTTTTTTTTCTTCTTTTTTTTTAATAGTGAAATAAAAACTGTAGGGATTGTTAATGAAGGGGGCACCAGCAAAAACGTTTATATTTGAAAACCAAAACCAATCAGTGCCGAACTGTCAGCTGTCCCAGAAGCATTGATGCTGTCTGGATTATTTCAAAGTGCTTGGGTTTTGTTGAGGTCAATAAGAAATTTAGACAATTGAGCATGGTTGGTTTGGGGAATTTCTTTTGGTTGGTTTTTTTTTTCCCCTCTTCTGCAGAAATAATATGTCTGTTACCACTCTAAACTTCTGAATTAGGTAATCCTAACAGGTTTAAACGCTTTTAATTAACGTAAATTTAAATCAGCTCAATTTAAATCAGTTCCTTGCATGTAAATGGTGTGCAGACTGATAATTTATTTATTTTCTTTTCCCCTTGAGAAGCTATTCTGAGTTTTTTGCCATCTTCTCACCCTGCCCATAAAGCCCCAACCAAAAACACCTGCAGTTTGTGTAACAATTGATCCTGTGCCATGGGGGCATTCAGTTTTTTGCCATCTTCTCACCCTGCCCGTAAAGCCCCAACCAAAAACACCTGCAGTTTATGTAACAATTGATCCTGTGCCATGGGGGCATTTGGAAGTTGCAAAGTGTTAGTAATAATGGCCACTCCTTGACATTATTAAATACATAATTTCTCCACTGTTTGGCACACTCTCTGATGAACATGGGTAGTGCAAGCAGATTTCAGTAGTTCTGACAGAACACTCATTTTCTTAATCCATGGGTAACTTAAAGGGTAGGTATAAAGCCTTTGGCTTTCTCCTAATAATTAATCACACCAAAGAAGCTCCCCCCACCCCAAAATTTGTATCTTGAGGTATTACAATTCAGGTTACATTTGCAGTGCTGCTTTAGCTGAGCCTGTGCCGTTCTTTCCATAATAATTGTGGATTTTTCTTTTTTCTCCAACTTGCCCAGAAGATTTCTGTCTTCAGCTGTATCTTGGTGTAGGGTGTCACAGCCAGGATGGTGCTGGTACTTAATTTGGTTTGAACTAGCTTCGTCACTCCAAATAAAGGGGGGTAAAAAAAGAAGCAAGCTTTGTGCATTCTTGACAGTCTCATTCAGGCATGCATTTAAAACATGACATCTTATGGCTTATTAGAGTCTGATGTCCAGCATTGTGCCTCGTGTTAACCAAAATTGTCAAAACAGCCTAGATGTCACGGTGGGAGAAGAGGGATGAAGAGGATAGCCCTAGCTAATTTTAAGAGTCCAAGGCTGTAACTTGTGAGTGGCTTATCTAGCAGGAGTTGGAGTTAATGCCTGTTTCTCTGGTGAAGATTCATACATGGTTTTGGCTGTGTGGTTGCAGCCTAAGTTGTAGAGGCATGGATTTGACAGATGGACCACTCAGTGGATAAGAAATTGGCTGGATGGTCGCACTCAGAGAGTTGTGGTCGACAGCTTGATGCCACGTGGAGACCAGTGTTGAGTGGTGTTCCTCAGAGGTCGATGCTGGCAACAACGCCGCTCAACATCTTTGTCAGTGCCATGGACAGTGGGATCAAGTGCACCCTCATCAACTTTGCTGATGGCACCAAGCTGTGTAGTGTGGTTGACATGCTAGAGGGAAGGGATAGGATCCAGAGGGACCTGGGCAGGCTGGAAAGGTGGGACGGCACAAACCTCATGGAGTTGAAAAGGGCCAAGTGCAAGGTCCTGCACCTGGGCTGGGGCAATACCAGAGACAAATACAGGCTGGGTTGTATTTTTTCTTGGATTGAGAATGGACTGACACAAGAGGGACGTGGAGCTGCTCAAGCAAGTCCAGAAGAGACCACGAAGATGCTTCCAAGGGCTGGAGCACCTCTGCTCTGGAGACAGGCTGAGAGAGCTGGGCTTGCTCAGCCTGGAGAAGAGAAGTGGCATGGTTTTAAATAGTCTTACATAGACCAGGGACTCCCACTTCTGCTGCAGGTACAGCTGATCTCTTCTTACAGTGATATCGAAACTCCCAGTTTGGGGTCTGGTTGTGTTAAGAGAACTGATAAGCTATAGTTCATATAATTATAATTCGTGTAAACCAGAACTCATGTTCTAGAATTCATGGCAATTCAGCACCTGCTGCTTGCCAGAAGGGTGGAAAGCTGTTGGAAAAGGGGAAGGGGTTAAATGGAGATGAGGATTGCTTCTGCTGTGGCTTTGCTTGGCATGCTTTCCTGTGATAGACCACAGGGGTGCTTTGTAGCACGTAACGGAACAAAACCATTACTTCAGTAGGTGGTTGATTACTGCAGACTCGACATACTTTGAACAAAGTTCACCAGGAAGATCAGCTTTATGATACTTGCAGGACTGCAGAGACCCACTGCAATCAGGACAAACAAGGTGGTGACAGAGTCAGAATAATCTTCTAGACATTGTGTTATAAAATCCAGCTGGGAGAGGAGCGCATTGGAAGAACACTGCCTGCCTTGAGGTTGATCTGCGTGCTGTCTGAACGCATCTCCATTCTGCTAGCCTTCCTCTGTGGTACAGTTCCTTCTGTAATACTGTATGAACTGCTGAATGACACAGGTTTTGGTAAGGGTTGAGCTCTGTACCTGTTAACGAGCTAAAACGCAGGGAGGTAATTTTCCTGTGGCAAATTAATGTGTGAAGTTGAAAGGACTACTTTGGTCCAGCAGTCTCTGTGTGGCCAAGAGTGAACAACTAGCACCTATGAAATTAGGCAACAGGGGTTTTTTTGGAGGGGAAAGAGGGTCTTGAGCTAGAGCTCCTTTACTATTATAGAAAAGCTATGAGGGCCATTTGGCTTACAGACCTTTTCTTTTCCATTTTCTGTCATCTGAATGCATTATGCTTTGGGGCAGGCTGCTGTTTTAGTGGGAAGCTCGAGGAAAGGAATTCAGCTTCAAGGGTAATCTTGGGGATGTTTTTTAATCCTTTTCATTTTAACCTGCTTTTAAGGTTTAATTTGACTTAGCTGGTTCTGTCTCCTCTGTTCTTGCTTCTAAACAACTGTCGTGGGATTTTTGATTTTGGTTTAAGCTCCTTTTTAGTCTGCATTTATACATTTCAATATATGTATAAGTGTGAGACTGTCGTAGCCATGTAATACAGCCCAAAGTCACCTTTAATAGCCAGGTTTTTCTTAATTTAATACTTTCATTTCTCTAGACGTGACTCAAGGTGCCCTTTGAATATTTCAAGCTAGTGTAGGTGAGTCAGAGGAGGGAACTGATTTGACTTGATCAAAAACGAGTATTTGGCCGGATCCGTTTCACAGTCTGATTCACCAGCTGGTTGCACAGACAGTTTCTTTTATGTCTGCTTTTCCCTGGCTTCTGTTGTTTGTCAATAGCTGCTTCCCCACACAGTTTGAGCTGCCACAAATTACAGCCTGACTTGTTAAGGAAAACCAAAATGAGCAGCAATTTACATTTATAGGTTGTCCTGTGAACTGGGGCAGTTCAGCAACTGCTGCCGCTTCTTCAGGAGCAGTCAGTCTGTCCTGGCTGCTGGAGCTGACATGTTTTGGGGAAGGCATCTGGGGACACGAGGCTGCTGCAGCCACTCCGAGGTGAGCTGTCTCAGAAGTCTGAGGACTCATCTGTGTGGAAGCTTTGCCATTTCAACTAGAAAACTCCATGTTTTACCCTCCCACGCTCAAATGTATGTGTATTGTGATGCGAGTCATTTCTATGTGTCTCTCCATCTATCTGTATTTTCATCTATATTCTCCTCTTCAGTGGGGTAAACATGCTGATGATCATAAATGCTGCTGTGACCAGAATGGTCTAAATAGGTGTTGGGACTGTAGGTACAGCTGAATTGGCGAGCAGTAGGTACATGGGGATCAGAGCATTTCAAGCCTGAGCTGTGAGTGATGTGCTGGGAATCACTGTACAGCCGCCTGTTCCTCCTTGGCTGGAATGATGGCCCCAGCTGCACGTGAAGCAGCTACTGGGCTACTGCAGTTTACGGGAGCATCTTTTGTTACAAAGGCAAACTGGGACATGGGTGGGAGGGGCAGAAAAAGCACCCAAAATTTAAAACAGTGCCATTCTAAGTCTGCATGGATTCATGAGTTAGTTATTGTCAGAAGCAGATTTCAGGGCACTTGACTCCATCCCTGGCATTGCTCAAGGCCAGGTTGGACGGAGTCTTGGAGTGACGTGGTCTAGTGTGAGGTGTCCCTGCCCACGACAGGGAGGTTAGAACTAGATGATCTTAAGGTCCTTTCCAACCCTAACTATTCTATGATTCTAATTCTTTTCTGCGTACAGACTTGCACAAGGAGGTTTAGCTAAGCCTGCTTGGATAGGTGATTAGTTGCTTCAGAATGTGGTCTAGGTTATTAACTTGTAGTAACTGGCCATGCAAGAATGTGCAGTGATGATACTTAGTTGTAAATGCTTATGACTATCAGGTGCTGACCAACATGAATATGTTACGCAGAGGCAGTGCTTGTGAGAGATGCTCTTATGAAGGAGGTTTTTTGCATCCTCTGGAGCTGTGGCTTGATTTACATTAAGTTGTGGCTGCCCCATCCCTGGCAGTGCTCAAGGCCAGGTTGGACACAGGGGCTTGGAGCAACCTGGTCGAGTGGAAGGTGTCCCTGCCCGTGGCAGGGGGTTGGAACTAGATGGTCTTTAAGGTCCCTTTGAACCCTAAACCATTCCGCAATTCTTTGATTCTATATATAATTTATTCCTTCTGTTCCTAAACCTAACCACCTTGTATTGTGATTTAATCTGTGTGCATGTCTGCTTTCCTTTTCAGATACATGTATTGGACAGACTGGGGTGAAACACCCAGAATAGAACGGGCAGGAATGGACAGCAGCACAAGAAAAATAATTGTTGATTCAGATATTTATTGGCCAAATGGACTCACGATAGATCTTGATGAGCAGAAACTTTACTGGGCTGATGCAAAACTGAGTTTCATTCATAGGGCAAATCTGGATGGTTCATTTAGGTAAGTTATTTATGGTATAATTTATTTCTCACCTCCTGCATTCATTTTGAACTGAGGCATTTCTTTTCAGTAATCCAGAGTAATGCCAACACCTTATTGTTTTTTAAATGCAGTTGTTAATAGCGTTGCAAGAAGTAACGTAACCTTACATCCTTTAAGAATAGTTTTAATAGTAAGACTATTTCTATCAGTATTTCACTGTAGACTATTTATAGCCTTGTTGTACAGCAGGATTTTTCATTTTTAGGCTCACATTTGTCTTGCAAATAGTTCGAGATGCTTATCCTTGGCCCCAGGCAATCTGACGTTTAACTAGCGACTGGAATCTCACAGTATTGTTGCTGTAAGTTGGTTTTTTTTCCAACAGGAAATATACATTGAGACATACTTATCCTTGACATCATCCAAACATGTCCTTTGTGGCATGCCTGTAAATTAACCAAATTCAGCTTATTTCAGACTGTGAGCAAGGAGAAAGCAGATTTCCCTAAAACTTGGTAGAAAGCACAGTATGGAAAATTTGGTTGGTGGCTCCGGACCAAGTGTGCTGTTGAGTTTTGACTTTTGTACACACAAAGAGGTTGACCCTTCAGACAGGGCAGACCTAGAAGCTGGAGATTGCACCTTCAGTTCTGGTCAGTGTTCAATAGGCAGGTTCTGTTGGTCCCTGAAGTGTGTTGTCCGTCAGTGAAATGTCCTGTGAAGGAGGCAAGTCTCTGGTCTGGCTTTGGTCTTCGGGTGGTTTAAAATGGCATTTTTGTTTCTTGTGATTTCATAACATCTTAAATGCCTGTGTTATGAAATTATTTTGCTTTGGTAAAGACTTTGAGGAGTCACATTTTATGCGTATCTGTGTAATTTAATATTATCCTTCCTCCCCAAGAAAAAAAAACCAAACAAAAAACCCCCACCCAAAAACCCCACTGCATTTTCTGTGGTGTTTTTCAGGTTTTTTTACTGAGATGCATTCTGTGCCTGATTTTCACACTCATCAAAGAGGAATAGCAATATTGACATCCTTTATAAAACACTCTTAAGTTCCTTTGAGAGCACTATGTAAGAGCTAGATAATGGTTGCATTGTAGTAAGTGACAAGTAGTGACTGACAGTCAGAAGTCTAGACAAGGGAAAAAGCCTTTATGGAAGGGAGTAGCTTAAAGGCTGGTTGCAGCTCCACAGAAAGAAAGTACTTTTTCAAAACTCAAAATCTAGGAGATTTTCATATAACACGACATGAATGTATTTCTCTGATATGGGGGCAAGTGGCAGAGAGGAGGGTTCCCAGGCTGATTCTGCAGTTATCATGTACATACAAGTCGTATAAACTTCACTTACATTAATGTGCAAACATTTGCAATTGGTTAATAAAATTTATTTTGCTCATTTTAAGGTAGAGAAGGGCCACCCAAAAGAGAGCAAGCCTTTGAATACACTAATTCCAGCCATCTGCCTAAATTGCTTTGTGATAGATCAGTGCGTGTCCACCACCTCCCAAGCAGTTTTCTATTGAACTGTAAATGTATTTTAGGAAAAATTAATGTATTTTGCATTTAAAAAAAGAATTAGCTCACCGTTGCACACCTCTTACATATTTTACTGAACTCCTGGAGGGTGTGAATGAACACTTAAGGGTATTCCTATGCAGGATGCATTCTGGCAGTTCCTTGTATCTGTATTGTCCAATATAATAGCTTCATGTCATTTAGCTGTGTGTATTTCATATTGTTATGATATGATAAAACTTCCTTCTTAAAATGTTATGCCTATTAATAAAATGCCATGAATATTGATCTTAATTTTAACTCTTTTCTAAAAGGAAATTTGTATTCTTTTTTGCCTTCCACTGCTAGGTGTTGAAACAGAAGTTGGGACTTACAGGTTCTGGTGTCTAGGTAGACTTCAGTACTGATTCAAACTAGACAATACCTTTGGAGGTTGCTTCTGTTCCTCAAACACAGAGTTTGTTTCCTAAATAAGTTTCACCCAGACTTGCCAATAAAGAAATCTTATGGTGTTTCAAAGGCTTCTACCATCCCCTGTCCCAGAATCACTTCAGAGTTCCTTCAGAATTCCAGTAAAAATGAAATTTGCCTTCTGCATGGTGGATAAATGTTACTGGAGCTATCTGCCAGTTACATCTTAGCAATCATCAGTTCACAAGCACATCGGCTGGAACTGTTTCAAGGGATGTAATTACAGGAGAAGGAGAGATTTGATATCTAAGAATGATGGAAATAGGGGCAATATATTGTGGAAAACAGCTGTTACGATATTAGAATACAGCTACTGCTCTACATTTAAATCTCCTGCTGACCAAGTTAAGAGGGGTAATTTAAAGAGACTCTCAGGTTGTTTCTTTTTTTTCCTGCTACAAGAAAGGCCTGAATACAACTGAAGTCCTGAAGAAAACAACCATATATTGCATAGGGGGACAAAAAACCTAATGTTTTAATTGGAGGAGCACTCTTTGGACCTGTGATTCTTCCAAATCATGGAATCATAGAATGGTTTAGGTTGGAAGGGACCTTAAAGCTCATCCAGTTCCAGCCTTCTTACATTGGATGCAGGACTCCAAAAGGCAATTGTGTTTGGGTATTTGCACAGCCCTGGTAAGAAACTTAGATGTAGCCTTTCAGGGGTCAGTGTGGAGCTGAACCAGATACCTTGTCACTGTGAAATCAAGTATATTCTTGTCTTTATTTTTATGAAGGGGAAAAGTCTTGTTTTGTATTTTTCAGTCTGTTTATCACTTATCACCACATCAATCTCTTGGTCCAGTGAATCTGTTAAAGAATACCCAATTAATGTGAGTTTTTATAAAGCCAGCGTGGTTTGAGGTTTTTTCTGTATGGTAACAAGTGGAACCAGTGCATTTTTAATCCTGTTTTTCCCTTTGATCCAGGCAAAAAGTTGTTGAAGGTAGTCTCACTCATCCCTTTGCACTGACGTTATCTGGGGACACTTTGTATTGGACAGACTGGCAAACACGTTCCATTCATGCCTGTAACAAAAGGACAGGAGAGAAAAGGAGAGAAATACTGTCTTCCCTGTATTCACCAATGGACATTCAAGTCTTGAGTCCGGACCGGCAGCCGTACTGTATGTTTTACTTTCTCTAAGGCTTTTTGCATGACTGTTCTTTATCTATCAGGATAAATGTTAACCATAAAATAGTTAGTGTGAAGTCATGAGGTTTTGAACGCTTGTCATGAGGTTGGTTTCTACAGGTATATAAGTACCCCACTTGGGCTAACAAAATTCAAAATCCAGTGCTGTACTTCAGTAACAACTTTTGATGTGGAATATTGGAATGAGAATGATTACAACTCACCTGGCATCTTTTTAACACTATTATTTTAAAGACAACTGGGGGGGGGGGGAAAACTTATCACTGCTTTTTTCTTCTTTAATAAGTAGAATTACCACAAAATATATAATGTTCATGTACTTATAAGTACGGCTTTTGCAGTCCAGACTTGATCATTTTTATCTTCAATATGTAACAAATAGTTGATGAATATTTCAGTATGAAAGGGATTTAATTCTGAGCTTTTATATGAGACATGCACCTGCCTCTATGTTTTCCTTTGTGTATGATGCTACCTCAAAGGAAGGCAGGTGCAGAGACTTGAGAATTGCGTGATGCTGTGTATTTTGTGTATGCAGGTGATACCATGTGGCCTGAGGGTTTTGGGGTTTTTTTTGGCTGCATGATGTGGCCATGTTGGTCTAGTTGGGGTTTTTTTAGTATTGTGAGAATGGGACTTAAAAGCAGTGGTGGAAATGTACATAATTGAGTAGCTGTGGGAAGAATCACCTCTTGCGCAGGAGAGAAACTTTTGTACTTTGGATTTGCTGCTTTATTTATGCCAGCTATTTATTTCTGCCAGTAAAGCCTGCTTCCCTGAAGATAATGTTTGTTATTTCAGTAAAGTTTATAGGATGTCGATAAACAGGACTGAAAGTAAACAAAAGAAGTTTGGAGATCATCTTGGTGATGGAACATGTGCAAGTTTTCATTGAGGTTGTTGAGTATGCCCAGCACCCTGGTTTATCTCACAGCTCCAGATAAGAGTTTGTCTGTGCTGAATTCCTGGCATTGCTTTTAGCTCAGGGAATGTCCCAGCCTTGGGTCATCATATTTCTGGGTCAGCCACAAAGAAAATATGATGCATAGAGAAATGGCATATGCTGAAAATAGCTCAGATGCCATTGACTTCATTACGATCAGGCTTGGATTTCTTCCTCTCCCTGTTTTCCCCTCTTCGTGACTGGCAGTGGAAGTAACACAAGCCAAATTAGCTGGAAATTTTGTAGGTTTATGTTAAAGCTTATTCAAACTGTGATTGAGAGATCTGGCACAACTTGCAGGGTTTTTTTTCTTTAATACCTGGCAATATTGCCCATAATTATTTATGGTTAGAGTTTTATCTCTTGCTGCCATTTTTACCCCGTGTAAATGAGGTAGGTGCATGCAGTTGTCATGTGTCTGTCCCCATCCTATCCCCGCCTGCCTCCCTCCAATTTATTTATTTTTTAATGTTTTCAAACTTGTGGACTTCATATGTTGCTCCTCTGCATTTCCTGATGATTCAGGGATATGCCTTGCTGTGAAAGCCTTTGAAAAAGCTTTCCAAGATATTTCCAACATGCAAAACAACTGTAATGGAATTGTACAAGTTGTTGTGTTTTCATTTCTTTCCTAGAGCTGGTCACCACCATCACCATCCTCCAAGCCCTGTTCTCCATTTTCATGATGCTTAGCAGACCCAGCATCCACTAATTAACTGAAGTCCAAAGCTCTTAGCTGTGTTCAGCTTTAGAACCATTGAAAGAGTTGTATAGTGAGAATGTGCCGAGCTGTCAGCTCTTTCCAAACCAACTTTTGTGTGCATCTCAGTTTAGGTGCCCCTAGAAGTGAGATGCTGGGCAGGAGAGAATCAGACTGGCTCCTCTGCTTCTGCCAGTCTTTTGGGATCTATAAATTCTTCCCTGTGGAGAAAAGAGGGCTTTAATGGTTCTAGAAATATGAAAATAAATCTGTTTGGTTTCTTGAAGTTCACACTCCATGCGAAGAAAACAACGGTGGTTGCTCCCATCTGTGCCTGCTTTCTCCAAGAGACCCTTTCTACAGTTGTGCCTGCCCCACTGGTGTGCAGCTGGAAGACGACGGCAGGACGTGCAAATCAGGTAGGAGCTTGGCTTTTCTACAGTCACAGAGTACTTTTTATGAATTAGAACAATCCATTACGTCAGAAACTGGAGAATTTTGGCTGTATTTTGTCTTTTGACTGTATTAGATGTTGCCAGTTCTCTGTAGGAATGAAGTAGGATGTGGAGCGCAGTGTAGAAGAATTTTATCAGAAGTAAGCTATTGTAGGACATCTTTCTGTTTGGACAATGGACCATAGATAGACTTCTGCTTCCTCCCATTCATTGTCCATTGGCGGTCAATGATGCAGTGGTGGTGGCTAAGTTGTTGCCTTTCAGTCGCATCTTGAAGTTAGCTATGCTTGAGATGTTCTGCACACAGATGTGCCAATAATTCCTTCGAGGTGCTGTTTTAGAGATAACTAACTCAGTGAGTTACCCCTGCTTCAGTTAGTTTTATAATGAAACAATTTGTGCAGAAAAATTAAGATTTAAGCTAACAATACTGTCTTTCTAGTTCTGAAGATTAGTTATCCCTCTGTTTCCCTTTGGGCTGCACCATGGGAAGGGTTTATGAGAAAATTGTACTGAGAATTTTTAATTCCTGGGTCTAATTTATGTTTTTTGGACATTGTATTTAATTTTTAAAAGTGAGGCAAGGCTTTCTGTGAAAAGACTTGGATAACTGAACTAGAGAAAATAATTCTCAAGGTGGCTGTTCATGTCACTGAGAAGTAGTAGGACAGGCTTTGTGCATAACCATTCTATGATACCCAGTAGAAAGCTGTTTAAAGGGTAATAGCTAGAGATATGCTCTAATTGAAAAGTGTAACTAGATGCTTATTTTGTATGTAAGTTGAATGAGTCTAGTAGTATACATTGAAAGCTCGGTATTATCGTTGATCAGGAAGTCTCCTTTAAAAATGCATCTTACAAAAGCAGGCAGTTAACACTGGTAGAGTGGTGGGACACTAGAAGGCAAGTTTTTGGAGAATGTTCTGCCAACAGACTCTGCTGCCCGTCTCCAATGCGTTTTCAATGAGTCTAGTCAAATAGTATAGTCATTTTCTGGTGTGGCTTGATTCCTCTGAGTACTTAGCAAGCATAAGATACTCCTTTCATTTGTGAACTTGAAGCAGAATTGGAACAGTGAACCTCTAGGGTTTAAGGGCCAGCTTTATTAGCTCATCCTGCTGCAATTGAAAGGCATGTAAGGTAGTTCTTGCAGCTGGTGAAAGACCTTTCTATTTCCTCCTTCCAGCTTTGGAAAGTTTCCTTTTCACAGCTTAAAAAAAAAAAACCCCAACAAAAAAACGTTGCTGAATGCTTAGGACAACCTTTTTAGACGTTAATATTGACCTCATGTTTCTGGCAGTGGGAATGAAGGTCAGCCTGCTTTTGGAGTTTTGGCGGATAGCACAAGCAGGAGCGACTGCTTATACTGTGCTTTCACCTTTCCATTGTCAGGCCAGACAATCTGTCAAGGGTGTTCTGTCAAAGGAGGGCAAAAAAGTGGGATGGGAACAGGAAATCTTGTTTTGCATAAGAATGTGGCCTTTTGGTTCAGTTTTATGGATTATTTCTTTCCCAAGCTCCACATCTTTTGTTGTCCTGTCTGCCTTATGCCAACTTCCATGTGCATCTCTTTCCCCTTTTATTAATTAACTTCTTGGTTGCAAGGAACTGACCTTTTGTTCTCTGCACAAGTTCTTTGTAGTGAAGTCCTATCAGGAACTACAGATGCAACAGCGTTGACCACCTCTGCATTTTGTTCCCTGTTGGCTTGGGCAGAAGTGCCAAAGTACAAAGTCACTTGGGCATATTAGCTTCTTTAATGTTAGGATTTTAAGTGAACTACACGAATACTACTGGAGATTTGTCTGCAAGAGAAAAAACATCGTGTTCTCAACATTTGTGCCCCCGTGGGGACTTTACTGGCACAAACAGAACCGTGTTACTGTGTGTCTCTGTCAGAAAGTATTCTGGTGCGGAAAAGCCCCGAGGCTCTTCGTGATTTCAGCTCTCTTGGATATTGAAGAATACATATATTGGTAACGTGCAGGTGTGAGGGCTCTGTAGCTCTTTATTAACAGTGTTGAATTAAGGTAATTAAGGAAACGTGAACTCAAGGACAGGCTGCGCCACTGTTTGCTGTGGATTATGTGGATTATGTATGCTCTGAAAGTGTGATATTCTGGATTTTTACACATTTTCTGAACAAATAACTGTTGATCTACTGAAGCTGTAAGTATGGTGTCAGCATTAAAAGAATAGTTCATTATTCTTTAGTTTTGGCTTTTGGTGTTGATTCATTCTTGCTCTCTCTCTGGTTCTAAACAGTTGCTCTGGCCTGTCATTGAAGGCCACCAGATTTGCCTGGCACAATTTGCCCTTAGTGAAGCCATGTTGGTTGTCACCACCCATCTTTCCGTTTTCCATAGTTTCCAGGAGGACCTGCTCCATGATCTTGCCAGGCACCAATGTGAGGCTGACTGGCCTCTAATTCCCTGGATCTTTCTTTTTGCTGTTTTTTTGGTTTTGTTTTTTAAAAAAGAGGGTTACTTTTCTCCTTTTCCAGTCATCAGGAACTTCACCAGACTGTCAAGACTTCTGCAGCGGGTTCCTGTCTGCCAGGAAGGTGTGACAGCTGTAGTTTATCAAATGAACTAGGAAAATGTGCTTTCTCAAGTGAAAAAAGAGAAAATATTTTCATAATTGGAAAAGGCAGTGCTAATGTCGGGTGTTTGAAGAGTCAGCTTCCCTTATTATGTTTTCAGAGGAGGAGGTCCCTTTGCTGTAACACATCTTCCTGATTAATAAAGAGAAACAGTATGGACTAATCCAGACATTCTGATTAAGTACGTAAACTGCTAATTAGAGATGAACAGCCTCTTTGTGAAAGGGAAGGGTTAGGGAGACATTTGTTATTTGGGATAATTGCTGTAAATCAGCTCTTTTAAGTACCTGAGAAAGCTTCTGCTGGCCTTGTGTGAACAACCTAAAATAACTGTCAGTCTTCTAGCACTTGGAAGATTCTGGAAGCAAAATCTTGCATATCAGTAGTTAATGCTAAAATATAATCAGTTTAGTTTGGGGCTCTATTGGGAAGGAGCACTCATGTCCTCATCTATTTATCATGAGGAAAATAAACACAGGAAAAACTCTATTTTCCCATATTTCCTAGAATCTTGACAGCTGCCTTGTATGCTTCTCTCTCCCCCTTGCCCATTCTATGATTGAAATGCAACTGTGGAAACCACAGTCTTTTGGTTGCAAAATGCTTTAACTTCATAGGTGTCTTTTGTCCTGTGCGTGGTGTCTGACTGCCACAGGGAGATGGGATCCAGAATTTCCAGAGGACTTCTTCCTCATTCCCCCTCCCCTTGCTGCACTCCCAAAGGTGATTCGTGCTCCCTTTGCTTATCAAGGAATTGTAAAGCTCATGGGTTTTCTTTTTTGGCTGAGATATGGCTTCTTAAAGGTTATTCTGATCCTTCTTTGAAGGTGGTGACTGTGCAATTGGAATCTCCCCCAGTGCCTGCAGCCAAATTAGTTCCTTAAGTCTTCCCTCCAGCCAGCAGATTCACTGAAAGTACCTATGGGTGTTTTGCACTGGATGAGAGGGAAAGTTTGGATAATACATCAAATGTCCAAGTAGTCTACGGTGGTTCCTGCAAGGTGGAGAATTACCTAGATTCCAGGCTATGAAAATGAGATGCAGTGGGTTGAATGAGGAAATAGCATTTTACTCGCTGCATCTGGACCTGTGTTATACTACTTACTCCAAACACATCCTCTTGACTCTTTAACACTAAACCAATGGGCTAGATGTTCTTTACTCAATAAATAGAAAACATAAAAGAAATAGAAAAAGAAATAGTATTGCATGGAACTATTTTTCACCTTTCCAATACACCAGACAGGATTGTGAAAACGACCAAGGAAATCTAAACACTACCTCTTCTATTTCTACTTCATTTCATAAAGATGTCATGAGTGGTTTTCTGTCTTTCATTCATGTGTAGATCTTGTTTTGAGTCTGTTTTCTGCTTGTTTTTGTTAGTGTCATGTTTGTGATTTTATTTGATCTGTATGAAAAGATTACATTACTTGCAATTCATAGCAACTTTTATCCTTGTATAAACGGAGAATACTTTGTGTAGTGACAAAATGAAACAGCCTCATAAGGAAATGGCCTTGTTTATAATTTCATTGCATAAAAGCTACTAGAAACATACTGCAAGGAAGAAACCTGGAAGGAGTGAGAAGTATTCTAAGAGGTCTGTCATCTCGTCTTACAGCTCTGTCGTGAGTGGTTTTGCTGGGCTAGTTAATGAAACTCTCTTTGGGCTTTGGTACCTGTTTCAGATTGATGACTGTTTTCCAGGAGTCTGAAACAGTGGCTAGTTAGAGATGGTATCTTCTTTCTCGGCACTAGTGAGTCTCTGGATTGATTCTGGTTTAATGCTGCAGAAGAACCACCCCCTGGGTCTGCACTGAGAAGGTTTATGTGTAAACTTTGTTATCTTGTGTTCACCGTGGTACATACACATGGAAAGTTACCAAGACCCATGATAACTCGAGCTTTATTTTGCTGTGCTGATGTAACAACAGTGAGGTTGAGATGCTCCCTAGATTTGCAAGCCCTCATTTACAGTTGTTTATAACATTTTTCCATGATGTTTACCCTTTGACAGGTGATTGTTAGCTCAGAATTGAATTTTCTGTGGTTCCATCATACATGGAACATAATAAATCATGTTTAAACTTCAAAGATGATACAGCTATCAGCCTCAGAAAGGGCTCATGGGTACATTTCTGTCTAAAGGAGGACAGCAGGGCAATGCAGAGACACTAATATGTTCAAGGTCTCTTGGTGAGTGGGAAATGTCTGCAACAGAAGTCAACAGCAGTAGGATTGTAGAACAAATATTGTATTTCTGTTCAGTTAAGTATGCATCTTGTTAGGTTGTAATGAATTTTTGATCGTTTTCTGTGTGTATTGGAAGGTGTTACCACCAAAACTCTGTTTAACAGAA